CTTTCCCTCCCTGTTTTTCTGCGGCTGCCGCATCCCCAGGTGGCTGAAAATCAGGGAATTGGAGAGGTGGCATCTGCTGGCTTGTTTAGAGGTGGGTCATACGGAGTGACGTTGCCAGGCTGGTAGGTTGGTAGATGTTGATTGTCCTTCTTTGGGTGACCCCATGGGCAGGTGAGAGGGGCATAGGTGATCCCACGGTGCTTTTTGGAGCTGGTCTTTCATCTGAATGTTCCTTGGCAGGGGAAACGGCATCCCTGGAGGGATGCTACCCTATGCCAGGGCTGGCGTGGCTCGCTTTACCTACCTAAACCCCAGTTTCCAAGCTCTGCCACCCTTTGGTGACCCCACGGCAGAGGAACGGGGCTTGCGGACGTGTGTGCACTGCTGTGAACTTTACAGGCTCCTTCTACCTTTTTACAGAGTGCTACATTCCTGGGAGATGAGGTCAGAGCCGCTTCCCAGCACAGGCAAAACCAAGGGATGGCTGGAGAGTCGATGCCTTGAGATTGGGACAGGGGCTGCGTGGGTGGTGGGATGGGGTCTGGGGATGGTTTGAGTGGGATGGTCACCTGGGGCTGATGAGAAGGGGGATGGTGGTGGCACCCTGCTGTGGACTAGATGCTAAGGCTGAGGGGGAAGACCTGCTTTGTGGTTGAGTTTTGGCCCTCTGGAAAGGGAGGTGAAGGTCCCAGGCCTCGTGTCCTGATCTAGAAGGAGTCTCTGGAAGGGGACCCAAAACCTGGCATCTAGCAGAGCGTCAGCAGCGTGGCCACAGTGGCAAGTGTCGCTTGTTTGTCCCAGGACAGGGCTGCCCGCGGGGCTGCAGCCTGGATTTGGGGAATCTCTTTGAAGCTGGCGAGCTATATCCATCGCAGCCCCCGGTGAACACCAGCTGTACAAACAGCAGCCCTGAGCAAAGCTGCCCGCTCAATCATCCATCTCCTGCATATCCCATCAGAGCAGCCCTGGGGCTTTTGAAGACATCCTCGAGCTGTGGGACGAGGCATCCTCAGATCCTGGACCAGGTTCCTGAGGCTTGGGGGGGCTACCCAGGATCTGGGAACATCTTTGGGCACTGCCTTTCTGACAGCGCTGGTAGATGAAGCAGATTGTAGCTCTGGGACATCAGTGGAGGGTGTGGGATTGCCTCGGCCAAAGTCATCAAAAAACAATGGAGAGAAGGAGAAACGAGAGCTTGTTGGGTCTGGCACCGTGACAAACCCTTCTTCCTTTCGGTTGCTACAAAGGGAGAAGGGCTGAGGTTCCCACCCAGGGCTGGAGGAGGTTGGACGAGGTGTCTGGTGGCACAGAGGGCTGATGGGGACAGGGATCATGGGCTCTCCAGTGGTGGTGAGGTCTCATGCCGGCTCTGCCACTGCCGCCGAGCCCAACGCTCGACCCTTGGGCCAATTCTCAAGCTGTCAGCGTAAAAGCTCTCAAAGAACCCAAACAAAGGCTCCGAGTCTCTCGGCGTCCCGCGGCACGGGCAGGGAGCGGCCGGGGGATGATTAGGTGTGCCCTGAGTGCTGGGCTCGTGTGGGGGCGGAGGTCCGTCCCTTCTCCCTCCCTCTGAGTCCAGATAAAAGCCGGATCCTTGGAAGCACGGCTGGATTTGCAAAGCTCCTGGTCTCCCATCCCAGCTGCAGGCAGAGGGGGTAAGGTGGAGGTGGGAGTGACCTGAGAAGACAAAGCCCCTCGGCTCATTGCCTCCATCCCTGCGTCTCCAAGAACGTAGGAGGACCCACCTTGGGGAAAGCCCGCTCGCTCGCTGCCTCTTGCCATCTCTCTCCGCAGCCGGCGGAGGGAGGAAGGAGATGGCCATGACAGCCAATGCCATGCCAGCCAATGGCTCCAGTGGGACGCATGATGCTCTGCCGGACAACGGCTTTGCCGGCGCCGATGATCTCGTTTCCGACTGGTACATCTACGAAACCATGGAGCCGGCCGTGTCGCAGGATGAGTAAGTGTCCCTCCGTCCCTGCCTCCTGCCCCGCTGCTCTATCCCCTTTCTGTAGAGCAACTTCCCCCGAGCACTGGAGCCGGGATTTATTCCCAGGTGAGCGGGAGGTGATTCAAAAGGCTTGTTTTTGGGCCCCCAAAAGGGCTTTTTTTGCCCTTCCTGAGGACAAGAGAAGTGCTATAGGGAGGGGAAACTGAGGCACGGAGCAGTGAAGCAATCCATCCAAGGTGTCCCATGAGGCCCATCTATCAGCTCTATTGTCCCTCTGTTGACTTAGTCCTCTGCGGGTGGGTTTTACACCGCTCGGTTGACTGATCCCTAATCCTCCAAGCAGGAGGAGATCCCAGCGGTGACCAGCCCTAAGGGTCCCTCCTCGTCCCTAATCTTCTGCATTGCGAAACAGCCTTTTGAAATCTCCTTGCCCAGCCTCAGTTTCCCCAGGTGAAGTCCCACCTGGGCGACCTACACCTCTTCTAGAAACCTTTGGGGTGCTTCCTGGGTGTCCTCCTTTGCAGCAAGCCGCGGTTGGTGAAGCGATGGAGGCAGCACTGGGGGGTTTGCCCATCTGATGGCTCCTGGATGCTGAAGCCCTGGGTGATACCTAACAGGGTTTTAGTATCCCTCTGCTCTTAATCTTGTGGGTGGGCACCCTGGATTTCCAGAGCCTGGATGTTTTGGGACAGCAGGAACTTTCTGATCAACCCAAGGCCAGGAAAACAACTCCCAAAAAAAAGCAGAAATCAGAACTTTGCTAATGGCAGCCAGTCCTAGAAAACCTTTTCTGGCAGGTTGGTGGCAACCTTGAACACACGATGCCTGAGAAATCTTAATTTCACCCTCGGACCCTTCCCTGCAGCCTTGCTGGTGAGGCTCTGCCTTGCAGTGGGTCTCCCGTCTTGTTCCCTCCCAAACCCCGCAGCACCAGTGGGGTGGGCAGAGGGCTCAGGGGGGTCTTCCTGCTGTGAGCTATGGGGCTCAGGAGGGTTCTGCCCCTATGAGCTATGAGGTTCAGCTCCCCAGCTGAACAGGGGTTTGCTGCCTGGCACTGGGTGAAGGCACCATCATGCCCGGCCTTGGGGAGAGGAGAAGGGCAGCCGTGGCGGAGCAGAGATTAAGGGATGGAATGGAGGCCAGAGAGTGAATAAATAAAGCTGAGCCTGGCCTTGGCTGGCTCCAGGACCGCGTCCTCGAACGCACCCACGCTGGGCAACCATCGCCTCCGTCGTCCCCCCAGCTCCGGGGCTGGTCCCTCTCCCATGGGAAAGGTGTCAAAAAACACAACAAGGGGTCTTGAACCTCCCAGCTGGTGTTTAATTAAGGACACGGCTTGGGTAGGGAGGAGAAGCGCCGCTTTGTGGGCTGTGTCCCCCGAAAAGACAGAGCCGGAGCAGGTATGGGTGGAGAAGAGGTGAGGGGGGGTTGGTCCTTTGTTGCCCACCCACTGTTGAGCTGCAGGGATGGGCTCAGGGCTGCTCCTGGGTGTTATCGCTCGTAAAGTCACCTCGTGAGGGTGACTTCATCCCCCGTTATTGATGGTCACGTAGCCCTGCTCCATCGAGGTCTGCCTCTGCTCGGCCACCGCATCCCTGGACATCACCTCAATGTCTTTGCTTTGCCTTTTGGGGACTAAACACAACCACATATGATAGATTTCTTTTTCTTTTTTTAATTTTTTTTTTTCATTTTCCCCCCTTCTAGCATGTTTCCCAGTGCAATCCCAGACTGCCACCCCACCGTTTCTCCCAGGCTGTACCACACCTGCATGGCACCCATCTCCGTAAGTACCTGCTGAGTCCCGGGGGGTGGGTTCACTGCTCCCCACGTTGTCTTTGCTGTCCCTCAGCTCAAGTCATGCCCATCTAGTCCCAAATAACAAGTCTGGGCTCTTCAGCTGGAGAGAAGTTTGAGCCAGGATGCTCCAACGAGGGATTTGCACATCTCCACACTTGGCTTTGTGCCTGTAGTTGACGGAAGGCTTTGATTTATTTTTCATTTTTTCCCAGCGTGATCCCTCTGAGGCATTTAAAGTCCATAACTCATCAGAGCAGGTTGAGAAATGCCTGTCTCCGCTTCAGCTGTGGCTGGATTTAGGGTGCTGGGTGGAGATGGTGTCTCCGTGGAGGTCCCATCACACAGCAGCATGTCCCCAACCCCCCTCCATGTGTTTACTCACTCCCTCCATTGCGTTTCTGGCAGCTGGCCGTGCTTGTGGGCTTGTCCTTACTGGTGAAACGCAGACGTCTCCACCGGAGCTGCTGGAACGGCGTCCCAGGACTGCTCAGGTACCAGGTCCTCAGGGTCCCTGTCACCCTGCAGCAAAGAGTGGGATAAAGCAGCTGTGGGGCAGAGGATGGTGGGGACAGGGTGCCCATCACTGGTTGCCGGGCTCATCCCTTCCTTGCCTTGCAGCCCAGTCAACTTTCTGGAGGAGGAAGGCAACCGCGGGCTGGTGGCTGCGGTGTTCGGTATCCTATTCTCCTCCCTCTGCGTGCTAGTCCTGGACAAGGACCCTCTGCCGTTCATCGCCCACTCCTCCCAGAGCACCCGGGGTAAGGCGAGCACCCTCCTGGCCCGTGGCCACCATGCTCTTCCCCAGTCAGGAGATGTGCAGCTTGTTCACTCTGGTCCCTACTGACAGTGCTGTCTTCACTCACCTCTTTCACTCTCTGTCCTCTCCTCCCACCGTCCCATCTAGAGTACTGGAAGATCTTGGCGTTGCTCTACTACCCTGCTTTCTACTACCCCTTGATCGCCTGTGCCACCGTCCGACACAGGGTCAGCTACCTTCTGGGCTGCCTGCTCTCCTGGTGCCACTGCGTGGTCCACATCTGGCAGAAGGTGGATTGTCCCCAGTCGCCAAAGGTACGTGTCCTACCACCTGGGGAAGGAGCTGGGAGGCTGGCACGGCCCACGGTTGGAAGTGGCTTTCTCATCACTGCCTCGAAGTGACAGTAAAGGTGTCACCTGCCTCGGACTAGACTGCCCAGGCTGGGGTGGTCTCACGTGTGACATCTCTGCTTCTCCCCAGATATACAGATACTACTCCACGCTCTCTTATGTCCCCATTATCCTCTGCCTTGTGCTCTTAAGCCTTTGGTATCCAGCCTTGCTCATCAGGAGCTTCATCGGGCAGGAGGAGACCTTGGAGAAGGAGGTAACAAAGATCCGTGGGGCAACAGGGTGGGGTGGTAGCATGGGTGGAACCCTTTGGATCTACACGGCTTTGGCAGTCAACGTGGGCTGGTTGGTGGCCCTCCTGCCCCACAGGGAGAACTGGAATCCCCGGGGCATGTATTCCCTGCTTGGCTCCGGCGATGGGAGCTGCCTGCCCTCTGACGGCACGGCTCGTGGCTCTGTTACTCTTGCTGGATTTGAAGAGGGAGAGGGGGGGAAAAAAAAAAATCCATCCTTTGGAGTAAACTTCTTAGTACAAGAGGTTTACAGCATCAATGCATCCCATTCAAGCTGGGACTGGGGTTGCCTTGTTTTCCAGGCAGGCTGGATAATCCCCGGCCCTTTGGGAAATGCTGGGGCTTTGTTGGGAAGAAAGGAGGAAAAAAACTAATTCAATTCAAAAAAAAAAGAGAAAAGAGCAAAAAGTGTGGACTGAAGTGACCCCCAGGCGCTTGGAGGGAGGTGGCTGAAGGGGAGGAGGGTTTGTCCTGCTGGTGCACTTGGCTTTGGGCTGCTCTGTTGGTGGGAACGAGGGGGATTTATTTCCACCTTTGCTGTGCTGGGAGATTTGCTGCCGGTGTCATTCGTTATCCGAACGAGGGCTGGGAGCCCGTCACCCGCATCACCTGCACAGAGATGGGCATGGTGCAAGCAACGGGTGGGTGGGCAAGGAGATGGGTGCTGGGTGGGATGCAGATGCTCTGAGAGCCCCCCGCAAAAAAAAGGCAGAGTCACCTCTGAGCCTGTCCCTGTGCTCAAACCAGGCAATTTATTCATGGAACGGTTTGGGTTGGAAGGGACCTTCAAGATCACCTAGTTTCAACCCCCCTGCCATGGGCAGGGACAACTTCCGCTATACCAGGTT